TCGAACATCATTTTACCTCTGCGTACCCGGGTTATAACCAATGAGCAACATTGTCCAAAGAACATAACTCACCGACAAAGCAGTTAAGAGTAAACTTGGGCAAGTGAGCGACCAAAGCGGGACGGTATACGAGAGCATTTACCTGAACAGCTAAAGCGGTCTTACCGACACCACCGTCGCCAAGAACAGCTACCCGCCAGTTATCCATTCTGATAAGGATGAAGGTCAAAGATGAGCGGGAAGGAATCAATGCCAGCACACCTGAGAACCGATTGAATTTAAAACGAAAGTATATAAGATGCGAAAGATGTAAGGTTAAGGTCGTTCAATTCGTACTTCGTATATGGTCGTAACGGGAGCGCGAGAGGCTGGGAGAGCTGGAGGTAAGACGTGAAAGTGCGGTTCAGCTATTTCTAGCTAAGCTTTCCAGTTACCTTCCCACGACCTAATTGTCCCTTACTTCCTTTATTTAATCCCTTTTAGTCGCCGCCCGAATTCCGATTGCCTTCTATCCGTCCGGTCGGACAACACTAACCTTATTCCTTGATACCATTATGGATCAGCAGTTCGGCTTTGCACTTACTGGTTTGCACCGTCACGTTTGTGACTGCCGGAGCGATTGAGACACAGCCCGGCAATTGACAAGAACTCACTGCCACTGACCCTGCAGCGGTTATACCATCCGTGTTTTTTCGCCCTATCACCTGTCACCTCGGCGAAAACTGTAATCTCACTCCTCGGGCCATGAGATAAATCGGCTGCGCAGCCCTGTTCAACTTGTTCGCGCACTTGGGGAACAGATTCGTTGTTTCACGGGTTGGTGGTCGAGGAAGTACGCGATCCGATATTTCCCATCACGGCGGTCAGCCATATTACAGTTTTGGAGGCGCTGTGGTCCTTGCCGGAACTCTTTCATGCTCCATGCGTCCGGCGATTTCCCTGAACCGGGACGAATACTGATATATCTCCGAGTTGCACCTACTTCCGAGTATTTCCTTCGCTGAATAACTGTCTGGATCCCCACAACCGTAGACATGTCATCCCATGTCATCGGTTATGACCCATAGTGCCAACTTGGAAGACCGTGCATTGACGGAAAAGACCGGTAGATGCCGGCCAGCGTGACGTTCCTCTCCGAAAATGGGATGCCGTAGGCATAAGACACCGCCCAGGCTTGACTGGGAATAGGTCCATATGGTACTGGACACTGGACATACCAATACTCAAGGCTCATCTCAATTGGTGAGCGCTGGGAACTTCCAAGAGTCTGAACCGCTATTCCGACGCAATATGCAACATCAGAAGTGCAGTGTGCTACCTGAAGTACTCCTGAGAAGAATGATGACGGTGCGTGGTGGACGCATCTCGAAAAGGATTTCTCTTCGCTCGGGGTTATTTATTATAGTCTGCAAAGGAAGTAGGTAGCAGGTCAACGTGTCTTGATTTACCCACGGCACAGACCTATCCGACGTGAATGGCTTCCCCGTAATCACCTCTTTGGCCGTGTTAAACGTGCTATCCGTGTTCCATAGAACCAACTGCAGAGGTTTGACATGTGCAACTCTATCGGTCCCTTGATCCCCAGGCACCGACTTGGGGTCGACCGTGTAACAGGACAATTTTTGCGCCCTCTTTCTTGCGTATTTTCCATTCTCTTATTCTGATTTCTCAGCCAATAACGCAAGTGTTTACTACTAAGCATATTAATCATCACCTGCTGAACGAATTTCAAACCAGCCAGCGGCAATCAGTACTCGATGAATACCTCGTTACGCTTCCATCGCATCTCTTCGATAACTGAGATGTTCCATTTTACTCAGTCTGTTGCTCGACGAGGCACTTCCACCAGGAATTACTGGATCGAGCTCACTTTGTTTTTTCAAATGCTTCCGGTGCGAAAGCAATGTGACCCTTACGCGATATCCCAGTTCCCAGTACGACCGACGACCAGTTGAGGATTCTCAAGGGCACCCCATATGGAACGTACAGTTCCTCGGCGACAAGTGTTCCTAAGAATAACTAAGCGAAAATCCTCTCGCCCGATCTTCGGACTTTATCACGAAAACGCAAGTACATCGCGGCGTTACCACGTGCAGCTTGAGCGGAGGAATCCAACTACGCAGCTGCGGTATGGTATAAAGAGCACAACATACTCTATTGTCACATTATGGCCAGTGATAAGCAGTCTCCGCGATTAACAAACAACAAAATGCCCCAATTGTTGGACGTGAAATGTCTAGGTACTGCAATAAGAAAAGCCGAGTGTGGCAAAAGGTTATGAACACTGAAGAAGGAAAAAATGAACTAGGATGTATGCATACAGTATGTGATGGAACCAATAATAATAGAATGAGTATCTGGGTGAAACGGAATATCATGAGAAGTAGAAAAATACGTTTAAATACGAAGAGTTTTTGGTTGGACGAATCATTGTGACACTGCCAAAACACTTTGCCAGCAGTTCGTGAATCCAATGGCCTAATCCTGTCGACTAAGCTCGGCTTGCGTCAGATTCAACAAGAATGTAGCCTTCTGATTTTTTGGAGCCTCGATGAGCTTTACTGGTGGCTTCTTATCCTGAGAAGCCGTGGTTTTGGGCTGTAGAACTTGGGAAATTGAGGCAAATGGTCTGAGAGCGCGTGATGCAGGAAAATGCGGGGTGCGTCGCTGTGCTACGATCGGCGAGGACCGGGTCGTACGAGAAGACTCTGATGCCGCAGCGAGTGGGGATGGAATCATGGGACGAGATAATGTAACAGCAGCTGTTAACTCGTCGTCAGTGTTTGCGAGGTGTGGCATGGGGTAGAATACTCACCCATTGTTGAACAATTCTGTGATTAAATGGAGCCTGTTAGGAATGGAAAGGCAGGGAGGACGTTGCGAGTGATGATGGCAAGAAGAGCGGGGTAAAACTGCCACAAGATATGAAATAACGGAATATATAGTAAGCGTTGTTTTGGGGTTCAGTGGTTCAATAGTTGGGGCAGGTATGGGGCGACGTGCCGCTTTATCCTAAATAAGTAATTCATCACTCACACATTGGCACAGCCGCTATCAGCACTTCGTCAGCCCGTTATTTTAGCACCAATGCAATGCTCGTCCGAGATGACTTGATGATCAATATCCAGGGGCCCAGCGCGTCTCTAGGTCGCATGACACAGCGTTTCCTTGCAATAGCCTGCACTTTTCCAATTGGTATTCAGTGATATCATCATTATCATAATCCCACCTGCCTCCAACAATGTTGATTGCCGCGTGGGACGATCGTCACGAGCTGATGAGCTTCAGGACGACAAAATCGGTTTGTTCTTTGGAAAGAGTATAGTAAAGCGACAGCGTCGGCAACGTGGCTTGAACTGAGATAATTGGCTCCAGGAAGGCTGTTGCTGTAATGCTATTCGAGCGCCAAGACTCAGAGGCAGTGGGCAAAGTCGAAGCCGCAGTTCATTTGAAATAGCCTACGCGAGCAAAAGTAGAGCAGCTGTTTCGGATATTCAAAGCAATCACACTCACTTTGTAATTGAGTCACATAGTTTGGTCAGTTGGGAGATTGGATCAAGAGACCGTTTGCTAGTCGGTGGTTCAAGTGGCGTACGCTAGGAGCATCGATATCGATATTGTCTGCGTACTGATTAGACCGCAAGTCATCTATTCCGTACATGCATATTATTACGTAAAGGAAGTTCGAAGTAGGCATTGAACTACTTATGTACATCGAGCGTCGTACGACGATTGTTAAAGAAATTCTGATAAGTGCAGGGGATGTGATAGGATTCTGAAGAATATACGCGTGTTGTCCGCACCAACACCTTGGGGCATCGCAGTGCCAAACTGGGCACGGATGTGCCATGCCCAGTCCTTCATTCATTACCATCCCGTGCACCTTTCCCCAAGAAATTATAAACTATGGAGGATAGATTTACAATCCTGCGAGAGTCCGAAATGACTGGTAGGTTCCAAGACTGATGCGACATATAAGCCGGATCAGATAATTAAGCTGCCTCGTTGCAAACGAAAAGGGCATTGGATCTCGCCCACTCGTTCAACTGGCGCAGCAACTTGGAATGCGTAGCTAGCAGCTACTGGACGTCGACGAGCAGATTGCGCTCTAGGATGAACTTGCCTTCTTTATACTTCTGGGACGGCTCGTATGCTTTGTCCTATCGCGGCGGTGATGGGTCAACACATGGAATCTCGCAAGCTAATGCACGCACATATTTCCACCCAAGGGTTGTCCCACATTTGCAGCAATAGATATCGCGCACAGTGTGATTACCTGTGGTCATGGGCCTATCATTGGGTTCTCCTTCAATTATGTTTACGCTAATGAATGCGGGTTAGGAGATCAACTGTGATGACAAGCAATGAGTTTTACACGATGTCAAAAAGATACGCTCTGCCGTGTTGGCCGTTGAAAGCCTGAAGGATACTGTTGGGGGTGTGTTTCGATCGAAAGTGATACAAAACTCACGCGAGAAATCATTGAATGAATGGTGGCCAAATGCGTTTTGCACGTAGAACAGCCGTAAATGCGTTCGCCAGTAAGGTATCGACGGTAACTCATTCCCATCTCGGCAAGCGGCAGGAGAGGTGCTGGAGACAATACCTGGAGGTGTGAGGTGATAAATGGAACGGGAGGACACCACGGAGTGAACTGTAACAGTTTGCCGTTTATATATCGACTCAATGTCGTGTGAAGGAAAGATAGCAAGATAGCACGGCAGATGTGCTGAGGTCGGAGTCAGGAGGGCGTCCCGGTTGCCGAAGATACCACTTGTGACACCCGGGTTGACATGCCTGGCTGGCACTTTATGTGACCTCGCCGCACATGGTCTTGGGTGCTTTCTTTAAACACGGATCACGACATAAAGAAATAAATATATGTACGTATACGTGGAGTAAAGATACACCGTCGGCATACATATATAACTGAAATTAACCCTCAGTTACCCAGGGTTGATTGCAACGGTTTCACCAAAAATGTAGGTAACAAAAATGTTTGCCCTCTGCAAGGCTCGAACTTGCGACCTCAGGATTACAGGGTGTGACACCCCTCACACAGCAGTATGAGACCTGCGCTCTAACCAGCTGAGCCAAGAAGGCTTGACTTGTATGATTATCGAAACTATCTCAGCTTGTATCATCGTGATGTGTGATTGTGACAGGGAATTTGTGGCTCGTTTTCCCGAGAACATTTACTCGATCTTAGCTGCTTGGGCGCTTGACTCGTCGTGGGTCGCCCTCACCGCCTTTGTCGTACAAGCGCGTGCCACGGATCGCGCGCTCTACACGCAGAGGCCACCTTCATCAGGTTAACCGGTTCCGCTCACATATTCGCCTCGATGAACAACCGTAAACGTGCAGCACAGGAACCCTTACTTCCGATCCGCGCTGCAAAACAACCGCGTGTTTCTAGTCACCGCTTGGATGGTGACCCAGCGAGTCCATCGGAGCACCAGGGTATTCTATCACGTTGGATTTCTCTAGGACAGGATTTCTTCAAGCTGAGCGTCGAAACTGTGTTCTACATTATACCTGGTCCGCAAAATATATCATCTCTTTGGACCTGTACTGACTATTCTGAATAGTTAGAGTCAAACCCTCGCCCCTTTATCTGTTGCCACCTCCACAGGCCGCGCCACCTCCACGTCAGACGCTAAAAATCAATAACATGTCGACACATGTACCGCATTCAATCCCAAATACGGCGACTGCTCAGTCGAAGTCTGAAGAAACGGTCAACTCGACATCAGCTTTACTCGTCGGAGATCTTTCAACTTGTGAAGAATCGGCTAACAATGGCGCCGATGACACACATTCAGTACAACGAACGGACCAGAATTGCACCCTGGGACCATCGGAACCCGGTCCTGCAGCGGATCCAATCGAAGAACGTAGCAAGAACCGCTCTGTCATGATAAATCAGGCTCTAGAAGGATTATCACTTACAAACGGCCCCGAAATCTCCAACAGGAGGAAGCGCGTCAAGGAACGTGAGCATATATACGCGCAAGCGGTATGTTCATACCAACTTAATGTCTCTACTTACGTGTTAATTGTAACGTAGCATAGAAAACACGTATTGGAAGACAGAAAGCGACTCCAGGAGGAGCTACGTAAAGAACTCTACAAAACAAAGCGTAAATCGGGTGAGCAGTGTGGAGGTCATACTTCAGTCCTCAACTAAAAGAACCAAGGCTTTACTTCTGGTTATGCTGACTTCAAGAGTAGGTTGGACTCAAATGTAACGTATGCTCTGTATTAATGCCCTCTCAGGTTATCTTGAATACCAAGCCCTTCTGCAAAAGTTAGGCAAGGAAACCAGTCACTTGTGTACGTTTCTCAGATTTTTTTGCAAGAGACCTAACCGACGAACTCCAGCATCACGATCCTTGGACGATCTGCGGTTCAAACCTGCCGAAGCCTTGCGTGTACGACGCTACTCCGTGTCTGATGTCAGTTGCACTATCAAGTATTTTATTGATCTTGCCTGACGCACTTCCCAGGAGGATGATACTGCATTTCTTCAAAGAGCTTTGGCTAATGCCAAGGCAACATTGAACAGGTGAGCTTCAAGGTGTTGGTACAAATAGTCTTGCCAACGGGACCTAGTCCCAAGCCCCCAGAACCGTTCACGCCCACATTAGAACAGCGCAGGAGAGTGAACAGACTAAAGGACGAGGAGCTTAATGCTAGATTCCGGCCCAAGTTACCTACTTCTCTTTCGCCGGAAGATGAGGCCAAGGTTAATGCCTTGCTTCACCACCAAGGCGCCACTTATAAAGTGGCCAGGGAGCACGTAACAAACGATGATTTATCTCGGTTAAAGCCACGCCAATGGCTGAACGATGAAATCATCAATTTCTATGGTGCTCTTATTCTTGCACGTTCGGAGGCCTGTAAGGAGAATCCAGGGAATGGCCGAGGAACCAAACCATTAAACGCGCATTACTTCAGCACCTTTTTCTGGTCCAAGTTAAGGACGGAAGGGTATGATAAGGGTCGACTGGCCAAGTGGACTAAGAAGGTATTTCATTCAATCAGCTATTGTTGATCAACATCTTACCCTTAACCCATCAGTGTGACTTGTTCTCAAAAGATATTGCGCTTATCCCTGTCAATCACAACAATGCACATTGGACATGTGCCGCAATAAATTTCCGGAGAAAACGGATAGAGTCATACGATAGCATGGGAATGGCAAAGGATGAGATTTTCAAAGTAAGGCAAGATTACATTCTTCACTTGTCGGGGCTTAAGCATCGATTGCATAGTATCTTCGTGCCTATTTAGACGCGGAGCATCGGAATAAGAAAAAAAAGCCCTTTGACTTCACCGGCTGGGAAAATTATGCTCCTGATGTGAGTTTCCGAAACGGTCTCCAATACATTTCTGACAAGCGCATCCAGTCTACGCCACAACAGGAAAATGGATACGATTGTGGGGTCTTCACTTGCCAATTTCTAGAAGCTCTCTCAAGAGGGGTGGAATCATTCATCTTCACACAGAAAGATATGCCCTACCTGCGACGGCGCATGATCTGGGAGATAGGTCATGCAACATTACGGGATGATTGAATTATTATTATTCGCATTCATACCTACATTATTGCATCTTTTGAGGACGCTTCGATTTTATATCTTGCTGTAAATTGATAATGCATGTGTCATAATACCGCTAGGGGAAATAAAGAACACGTAGCATATAGTGGAATATGAATATTATATGTGAACCCTTGTGTCACGGTGTGGATAGCAGCAAGACATGTGAAGGACGAAAAGCAAAGGCGGGGGATGGTGAGCAGATGTAGATGCTACCGTCGAAGCCACCACACGACGATGAAAAACCAAAATACGATCGATAGGAAGACAATATACCACAACCAGCGGCAGCCATGGCGTGCGGCCATATTGTTCATTCGTCGGAATGTACCCGCAAGTACGCCGGAGGTCTCAGAAAAGGCATCGTTCTAAAGTAGGAGACAGAATGAGCATCAGGTGAAGAGGGTACAATGAGCGCACCATCTGGCCGAGCTGTATCGTCGATTCCCTCACCTCATTCCCTATTCCTATCGTTATCTATTTTTTTTTTGAAATAAACCACAGAAAAATGTCAAATGTGAAGGAATGATGACTAAACAGACAGAGCAGACTCACATCCTTCAAGAGCTTCACCTTTGCACTCAGTCCATCTAGCATCTCGTCGTTTTGCCCCTCGAGGTCATCGGCAAATCTGTGTCCTTTTGGTTCATTGAATGGTGACGAACGCCCAGATGCGGGCGGCGTAGCCCCCAGGAGACCAGACCGGTCGCGTAGAGAGCCAGGCGCACGTATTCTGGAGGTAATCAGAGTACTGTACGGCAAGATACTTGAGATGAAACTTCACCTAGGGGACATAATTCTGATGGACGCAATAGAGACGCATTCGCAGAAGGGACGTGTTTGTTACACGTATGGTATTACAATAGCAAATAATGCCGACCATTGCTATTTTTGGCGCTCTCCCTTCTTAAAGCAGCATGCGGTGGCATAACAATAACTACAATAATACATCTAATGTATTTGTATGAATAAACGAAGAGAAGCAAAAGGGGGGACACATCCGGGTCAACCATGGATGCAAAGATAGAAACAGACTAGGTTGATATGAACGATATGGTGTAGGGTCGTCAGGGTGGCTGGGCTGACGGAGTTGCGCTATTGTGGTAAGTATGTCAACGTCCATGCGTAGGGCACTAGGTAAGTACAATTTATAATCGTCATGGTCATGGGGGTTGAAGAGCCTTGAATTCTTTTTATTCAATGCTCATGCGGTTGAGGTGCGTGCTCGTAGCACGGCCTTGATGCTGAGAAGCTAAGCGTCCATGTTGCTGGTGACTGTTTTTCGCCACTAGTTGAATATTAGTCAACTTCATTCGGATAATAACACATTATGATTCTTACAAGCTTCTTTCAGTCCTCGCCCGAAATTCCTGAACACGAGGATGGAGTAGACAAAGGTAATTAACAAGAGGACGATGGCAATGACAGCTAAGATTATCATTGAATTTAGAAACAACACATCGAATGTGAGCAAACGACTTACAAAAAATGGTGAGAGATTTCCACACAGATTTGAAAGGTTCGACTTGCGCGTTTGAGACGACTTCGATAAGCTATAAAGGTACTCAGCATAATACACCTTGATGAAAATCAAAACTTACCTTGTAGATAAAGTAAACCATTGCCCCAACACAACCTGACATAAAGGTCACCATCATCATCGTGTTCTCATGCCGAGCTGCAAGGTGCCCTTCGACAAGCAGCACAATCGATAAAGGAAGGGCAGCGATTGTAACGTAGTATTGCCAATCGTTCTTCGACAAGACAAGTCGGATTAACTGTAATGAAAATCCAGCCCAGAAAAACACGTCGAACTTGATGAGGCATTCATATACTTGATAATTAGCATACATTCTCTTCTTTTGCCGGTCGGCTCCAAGTAACTTGTAGACTTTCCAGCCAAATTCATTGTAGATTTTCCAGCCAAGAGCAATGTATGCAACCTCGGCTACAGAGATAACGACAGGTATTATAGTGGTGAGGACGGTGATAGGTATTTTTGCGAGTCCTTCTGTCCCGGTTGACGTGGTAACGGAGGCTTTCATTTCGCCTATTTGAATGATTGCGTAGGCAAGGAATAGGGCGTTGAAAAAGCTGGTCGACGTTAGTTGTTATCATCTTGGATACCGACATCAACTCACGTCAGACATATGAATTGCAGTGTATTCCGGGTGTATACGGCATGAACAGCCATCACGAACTGGAACACACTAAAGAGACCGGTATGTCGGAACGTTATAATCAAGAGTAAAAAAGTGACGTACTGTGCAAAAGCGAAAATCGTAAGGTATGTTGGCATCGTCTGAGCCGTTTCACTCGCAGAAGCAGCTTGCTGGATACGCAGAGCCAATTCTGCTTCCACGGCCAAGTCTACTGCAGTCTGTATGAGTACTGTAAGGACATAGAGGCGACATGCTAGTGATTCGGGGAGTATCTGTCAAGCAGTCAGACTTAGTCCTCGTTACGGGCGGCTCTCGGACCTTCTGCCAGAAGCTAACGTTG